AATATCTGAGCAAAAATAAATAAAATAGTGAAGAATGAAACAATAGAAAAAAATCAATGAAACCAAGAGCTGGTTCCTTGAGAAGATAAACAAAATAGATAATCCTGTAGCAAGACTTACGAAGGAAAAAGAGAGAGTACACAAATAAAAAAATCAGAAATGAAAAAGGAATAGTTACAACAGATGCCACAGAAATACAAAGAATAATTAGAAAATTCTATGAAAAATTATATGCCAATGAATTGGACAACCTAGAAGAAATGAACAAATTCATAGAAAAAATACAACCTTCTAAGAATGACCCAGGAGGAAACAGAAAACCTGACAAATTACCAGCAATGAAGTTCAATTGGCAATCAAAAAATTTCCCAAAAATAGAAGTCTAGAACCAGATGCCTTCACAGCTGAATTCTACCAAACATTTAAAAAGCCGACACCCATCCTTTCTTAACATATTCCAAAAGGTGGAAGAGAAGGGAATACGACTTCCAAACTCATTCTATGAGGCCAACATCACTCCAAAGGCCAAAAACAGACAAAAACACAACAAACTTTTACACCAATATCCCTCATATATACAAAAATCCTCAACAAAATATCAGCAAATTGAATTCAAAAATACATTATAAAGATCATACCTCATGACCAAGTGGGATTTATTCCAGGGATGCAAGGATGGTATAATATTGGTAAATCAATCAATATCATATACCACATTAACAAAAAGAAAGATAAAAAACAAATGATCATCTCAATAGATGCTGAAAAAGCATTTGACAAAATGCAATATCCATTCATGATAAAAACGTTCAACAAAATGTGTATAGAGTGTATGTATCTCAACGTAATAAAGGCCATATACAACAAACCCACAGCTACCATTATACCAAATGCTGAAAAGCTGAAAACCTTTCCTCTAAGATCAGGAACAAGACAAGGATGTCCACTCTTACCCCATTCACCCAGCATAATACTGGAGGAAAATCACAACTTAAATGAGAAAAGACAATTGACAGATGCCAACACAGAGATCACTGAGATACTGGAATGAATTGGCAAGGATTTATAAAAAATACTGCAACAAAAATTACAGAATCTCTTGAAACCAGTGAAAAAAGAGAAAAATCTCAAAAATGAAAGATAGTAGTTACAAAAGGGAACCAAATGGAAATTACAGGCCTGAAAAAAAATACAGTAATAGTTTTTCTTAAATACTTCACTGAATGAACCCCAAAGCAGGGTGGAAATGGCAGAGGAAAGAGTCACTGAATTTGAGGACAAATCAATAGAATTTACCCAACTGGAACCGTAGGGAGTCAGCCAACTAAAAGACATGAGCAGAGTCTCCGTATTCGAGATTTAACGTTTATATCATCAGAGTCCCAGAATGCCAGAGAAGAAAGTGTAGCTGAGAGATATTCACAGAAATAATCGCTAAAAATTTCCCAAATTTTAGAAAAACCCAAACCTACAAATTCAAGAAATTGAGCAAACCCCAAACAGTATTCACTTAAAGCAAGCCATGCCAAGACACACCATAATCAAACTTCTAAAAACCGAAGCCAAAAAAAATATCTTAAAAGCAGCTATCAAGAAGCGGTGCATGTAGGGAACACGGATTCAAATTAACAGTGGGCATCTCATCCGAAACCACGGAGCCGAAAGGAAGTGGCACAACATTTCCCAATGCTGAAAGAAGAGAGAGGCTAACTTTGAATTCTAAACCCAGCAAAAATATTATTCAGTGATGAAGAGGAAATAAAGACATTCTTAGATAAAGGAGAGCTGAGGGAATCTTGCCAGAAAACAAAGAAGAATGACTATAGGAAGTTCCCCAAACAGAAAGGACTTGAACATTTGGAAAAGAAGAAAGTTCAATGCAATGGGTAAAAATAAGGATAAGTAAAATAGGCTTTTCTTCTCCTCATGAGGTTTAACACAATCTTTGATGGTTGAAAAAACATTATATCACCCACATACCTCATGACCAAGTGGGATTTATTCCAGGGATGCAAGGATGGTATAATATTGGTAAATCAATCAATATCATATACCACATTAACAAAAAGAAAGATAAAAAACAAATGATCATCTCAATAGATGCTAAAAAAGCATTTGACAAAATGCAATATCCATTCATGATAAAAACGTTCAACAAAATGTGTATAGAGTGTATGTATCTCAACGTAATAAAGGCCATATACAACAAACCCACAGCTACCATTATACCAAATGCTGAAAAGCTGAAAACCTTTCCTCTAAGATCAGGAACAAGACAAGGATGTCCACTCTTACCCCATTCACCCAGCATAATACTGGAGGAAAATCACAACTTAAATGAGAAAAGACAATTGACAGATGCCAACACAGAGATCACTGAGATACTGGAATGAATTGGCAAGGATTTATAAAAAATACTGCAACAAAAATTACAGAATCTCTTGAAACCAGTGAAAAAAGAGAAAAATCTCAAAAATGAAAGATAGTAGTTACAAAAGGGAACCAAATGGAAATTACAGGCCTGAAAAAAAATACAGTAATAGTTTTTCTTAAATACTTCACTGAATGAACCCCAAAGCAGGGTGGAAATGGCAGAGGAAAGAGTCACTGAATTTGAGGACAAATCAATAGAATTTACCCAACTGGAACCGTAGGGAGTCAGCCAACTAAAAGACATGAGCAGAGTCTCCGTATTCGAGATTTAACGTTTATATCATCAGAGTCCCAGAATGCCAGAGAAGAAAGTGTAGCTGAGAGATATTCACAGAAATAATCGCTAAAAATTTCCCAAATTTTAGAAAAACCCAAACCTACAAATTCAAGAAATTGAGCAAACCCCAAACAGTATTCACTTAAAGCAAGCCATGCCAAGACACACCATAATCAAACTTCTAAAAACCGAAGCCAAAAAAAATATCTTAAAAGCAGCTATCAAGAAGCGGTGCATGTAGGGAACACGGATTCAAATTAACAGTGGGCATCTCATCCGAAACCACGGAGCCGAAAGGAAGTGGCACAACATTTCCCAATGCTGAAAGAAGAGAGAGGCTAACTTTGAATTCTAAACCCAGCAAAAATATTATTCAGTGATGAAGAGGAAATAAAGACATTCTTAGATAAAGGAGAGCTGAGGGAATCTTGCCAGAAAACAAAGAAGAATGACTATAGGAAGTTCCCCAAACAGAAAGGACTTGAACATTTGGAAAAGAAGAAAGTTCAATGCAATGGGTAAAAATAAGGATAAGTAAAATAGGCTTTTCTTCTCCTCATGAGGTTTAACACAATCTTTGATGGTTGAAAAAACATTATATCACCCAGTGTGGTGCTCGACATATACAGGAGAAATTACTTCAGACATAATATTTTTTAAATGGAGAGGTAAAGGTGAATGAAAGTATGATTTCTACCCTTAAAGCAGTAAAATTTCATTATCAGCAGACAGTGATAAATTACATATGTATACTGTAATATCTAGAGTGACCACGAATATTATAGTTATTCAAAATCATGACAAATAAATCAAAGTGGATTCAAAAAAAAGTGTCCAAGAAACCCAAAGAAGGATAGGCAAAAGAAATCAGAGAAATGAGAAACAGAGAGAGCAAAGAGAAAACAAATAACCAAATAGCAGACTTAAGCCCCATCTTATCAGCAATTACTTTAACTGTGAAGGGTTCGAAAGACAGATTGTCAGAGTGGATAAAAAAGCATGACCCAACTATATGCTGTCACAAGAAACGCACTTCAAACATTCCATAGTAGGTTGGAAGGTAAAGGATGGGGGATTGTATAGCATGTAAGAATTAAAGAAAAGCAGAATGTCTTATTATCAAATATCAAATGAAAGGGATATCAGAGCTAAGGAAATTGCTAGAAATAAAGATGGTTACATAATAACGAAGGGGTCAGTTCACTAGGCAATCCTAAGGGTGTGTGCACCAAACGATAAAGCTTCAAAATACATGAAGCAAAAACTGACAGAACTGCAAGGAAAACCTTTCACATAGGCCCCCAGCTGATGAGTGAGGATCAGATCCTAGAAAGAGTAAAGGAAGCCTACAACAATCCCTCACAAGCGTCTCCTCGACCATCTTTTGCAGGACAGTCAAAAATGCCCTAAAGGGATCTGCCATTTTCCTGCATCAGATAAAAGGCAGTAGTTGCCCTGAATTGGAAGAAACCTTTTTGTAATGATGGAGAGAAAATGTCCTCTTATACCAGATATTGGTATTTTGTAAAGAATTGCGTATTTAAATAGACAAATGATAAATATTGGTTGATAATTCAACAACACTGATACTTTAAGGAAGTGAAAAAGGCATGGGCATAGGAGAAATGCTGTACACACTTCATTTTTCATTCTTAGTGAGCACGCAGGCATCCACTGATTCCTCTGCCCCAGCCCAGCCCCAGATCTGATTGTAAAATTTATTTCTTCTGGCACAGTCTCTATTGGCTTTTGACAATAGCTTTACTTGATTTATTAGTTGCAGTTTCTACCACTCACATTATCACCATGAGTTTCTACTTCTGGCTAAGATGTGATAGGGACCAGATTTACCCTGACATTTGAAACAACCCCCAAAAAAGTCTCAAAGACAAAATACATGAAAACTGATCCAAGACACTATACAGCAGGCGCGAAAGGATAGTGATCTCTGAGAGGGAACAAATGACATGAGCCCTGTGCATGTCTCAGCTCACTTCCTGGAGAGTCTCCGGGCTCTAGTGCAGGTGGCAGGGAATACAGGCAGAGGCCCGAGGACACCCTGAGTTGAGGAGACAATACTGAGACTCAGGGGACAGCAAGGCAGCTGGGGTTCTCAGGAGAGAGCACCAGGGAGGAGACACTGCACAGACCGAACCCCAGGGAGCCTGGGAAAATTCTCCTGGGTTATCATCACTCCAGTGCATACCCAGGGCCAAGAGAAAGAACTACATGGATTAGAGAAAGCAGTACCCAGAGGACATATGGGTCTGGGGATGGTTTCTGTTCTTACCAGACAGACTAGAAAACCTCATCCTTCATGGAGCATCGGGTAGAGCTCTGAGAATGGGGTTGCTTTCAGTGGTGAGGTCTGGTGCTGTTCTGGTACCACCTAATGAATGTCAAAAATGAGAATCCAGAGGATTAGACTGCATCCAAGCGACTTCACCATGTGCCAAAACAAAGACAAAGAACATTTAGAGTGATACAGAAACATCCTGGACCCAGCAAGGTGAAATCCACAATATCAGCATCCAATCAAAGATCATGCAGGGAAGCAGAAAAGTAGGACCCATCACAAGAAGACTAAGACTACCCCCTCTGGCCTCTCCCGCATCGCCATGGCAACTGTCATTTGTTATTATACAAAGCAAATAATTAAATTGGAGTGTATGAGTTATAACTTCAATATCTCATTTGGTTTGTTTTCTATGATACAACATCTCCTCTTGAGAATAACAAGGTAACAAGGTCCCAACACTTCTTCAAGGTCAGCAGTTGCTATCAAATCAACCTCTACTTCAGCTTTCACTATTTCAAAAATAAATGCAAACACACACTCCCCACCTTCCCCCACTAGATTGAAGGTCAGACTCTTCTTTTTGTCAAGTCCTAATCAGATGATCTCAACTCTGAGAAGCAAAAATTATGATATGCATGAGAGATTCCGAGACAGCAGCTGGTTGTATTTGAAGAACTCGTGTAGGTAAGCACAGACTGAGCGAGGGGAACAGGTGACATTCACCTCTGATATTGCTTACGGTGCCCATCTGTTGAGAGAAGTCAAGTGGACACGCAGTGCCGACACTGCATTCTGCAGATTGACAGTGTCAGTAATCACATTACCTCCTGCACAAACTGCTAGGAATATGCAGAAGGGAAAGCCTGGATACTACATTGGCCAGTAACTTGAAAGTCCTCTGTGAACATTTAATTTACTTCTTCGATTATGACATAGGATGTCAGTTTTTCCCTTTCACTCTGTGCATGACCTTGAGCAAGACATGAAATATCTTTTGGCTTGTGTGAATAGATGCAAAGATAGAAGGGAATCTATTTTCCATTAATCTCTCTCAGAGAGAATAAAACAAGATTGTGTGCTCAGAGCTCTCCTTTGCCAGTTACATGACGCATTATTGTTTTTGGAACCGACCTCAGCCTGTGCCTTATAAATGGAGGTGCTCAATCAATCCTCTTGGTTGATAGATTGGTTCTATCTTTCTCCATGTGAGAAATCTACAATCAGAAACAGCCCCAATAAAGTAGATTCAGCAGAACCGCCACTAAGTGTGCAGATGCAAATGTCTTTTCTCTTCTGTGTCAAGTGAGCAGCATTGACGAGATCAAGTCAGGGGCAAAGATATAATATGCATAAAATCCAAGTAGTCCCTGCAAAATGTGTGAAGCCAGTGATGTAAAATAGTGACACTGAAAAAACTAGTGACACTGACATATTCACAAAGTACACAATTTTACTTATTGGGTGGAATCTAAAATTCCATAAAATACAGCATATACATGGGATACCTATTGGCTAACTCTCCCAAACTCATAGGAATTACTACCCATTTGGCATATGCTGGTTGGTTCTAGTAACTCTGTTTTGTCCAGAAAAATATGATACAGAATCTAACAAGACTCAGTCTGGGAAATTGTTCTAGCAAAATACAGTCCTTTTCTCTCTTATTATGACTTTAATGAATGACAGTTCACTAAGCCTCACATATTAAGGGAGCTTAAGATTTTATCATTTTAAATTTAAAAGTTTGAAGGAGATTTTTAGAAGATTATTGCCTGGGTTGTATTGTTGCCCCCACTAGAGTCAGAAAAAAAACTTGTTTTCTTGCGCTGTTACCATGCCCGTATTGGACTATTTTAGGAATTCCTGCACCCCAGAGTTCCCATTCTCCACCTGAGCACACCCTCTACCATCCTGTACAACCTCACCAAACGTCTGTGGCTGTGTATTGGTATTATTCCTTAGGACCTTTTGGAGATATATATGTTAATACTTCTAATGATCTAAATTATACGATCTAGAAGAAATTACAAATTGGGAGCTAAAGTTACCAAAATTATTTTGTTTGATTAACTTAGAGCCATCCTTTATCACTTAACAGGAAGGAGCTTGGAAATAATGAAAAGACCCAGAAGGAATAAGAGTGAAAATCAGCATTAAGGCTTTGAGCATCTTCTGTGAAAATGACAGGTATTCTGAAAGGACCTGGAGGAAAAAATGAAACAGTAAAAGCAGACAAATTCCATTTGCTTTACAGTCTTCACTAAAACTTAAATGCATTTTAACTTGTATAAATATAACATGATTTAGAGAACAAGGAACCACAGAATCTCAGTCTGTTTCTGTGAGAGAGGACATTTAGATTCTGTGTCATGTTCCAAGATATATTACATGAGATAGCCCACCTCTGTGAACATTTAATTTACTTCTTCGATTATGACATAGGATGTCAGTTTTTCCCTTTCACTCTGTGCATGACCTTGAGCAAGACATGAAATATCTTTTGGCTTGTGTGAATAGATGCAAAGATAGAAGGGAATCTATTTTCCATTAATCTCTCTCAGAGAGAATAAAACAAGATTGTGTGCTCAGAGCTCTCCTTTGCCAGTTACATGACGCATTATTGTTTTTGGAACCGACCTCAGCCTGTGCCTTATAAATGGAGGTGCTCAATCAATCCTCTTGGTTGATAGATTGGTTCTATCTTTCTCCATGTGAGAAATCTACAATCAGAAACAGCCCCAATAAAGTAGATTCAGCAGAACCGCCACTAAGTGTGCAGATGCAAATGTCTTTTCTCTTCTGTGTCAAGTGAGCAGCATTGACGAGATCAAGTCAGGGGCAAAGATATAATATGCATAAAATCCAAGTAGTCCCTGCAAAATGTGTGAAGCCAGTGATGTAAAATAGTGACACTGAAAAAACTAGTGACACTGACATATTCACAAAGTACACAATTTTACTTATTGGGTGGAATCTAAAATTCCATAAAATACAGCATATACATGGGATACCTATTGGCTAACTCTCCCAAACTCATAGGAATTACTACCCATTTGGCATATGCTGGTTGGTTCTAGTAACTCTGTTTTGTCCAGAAAAATATGATACAGAATCTAACAAGACTCAGTCTGGGAAATTGTTCTAGCAAAATACAGTCCTTTTCTCTCTTATTATGACTTTAATGAATGACAGTTCACTAAGCCTCACATATTAAGGGAGCTTAAGATTTTATCATTTTAAATTTAAAAGTTTGAAGGAGATTTTTAGAAGATTATTGCCTGGGTTGTATTGTTGCCCCCACTAGAGTCAGAAAAAAAACTTGTTTTCTTGCGCTGTTACCATGCCCGTATTGGACTATTTTAGGAATTCCTGCACCCCAGAGTTCCCATTCTCCACCTGAGCACACCCTCTACCATCCTGTACAACCTCACCAAACGTCTGTGGCTGTGTATTGGTATTATTCCTTAGGACCTTTTGGAGATATATATGTTAATACTTCTAATGATCTAAATTATACGATCTAGAAGAAATTACAAATTGGGAGCTAAAGTTACCAAAATTATTTTGTTTGATTAACTTAGAGCCATCCTTTATCACTTAACAGGAAGGAGCTTGGAAATAATGAAAAGACCCAGAAGGAATAAGAGTGAAAATCAGCATTAAGGCTTTGAGCATCTTCTGTGAAAATGACAGGTATTCTGAAAGGACCTGGAGGAAAAAATGAAACAGTAAAAGCAGACAAATTCCATTTGCTTTATAGTCTTCACTAAAACTTAAATGCATTTTAACTTGTATAAATATAACATGATTTAGAGAACAAGGAACCACAGAATCTCAGTCTGTTTCTGTGAGAGAGGACATTTAGATTCTGTGTCATGTTCCAAGATATATTACATGAGATAGCCCCTTAACTAGGACTGAAGTGCCATATGACTATAAATGCATGTCTGCCAGAACCACGCAAGCATGCTCAGCTGTCGTCCAAGCCATAGGAGGCAATGGCTGCAAAATCTGGGTGAGTATTTGAAGGGGGATAGATGCTCCTTGCAAAATACTATTGAAACCTTCCGTGAACGGGGTAAGCCCAGAAGTTGACTTTGTAATGTAGGAGATGAAGAATGGAGCGATGCCATTCAAGTGGGGAGAAAACTCTCAGGGAGCCTGACTTTGATAAATGACCTTAACTGTGATTCCCAGACAAGAGGAATGCATTAAGTGGGTACTGGCAGCATCTAGGGACAAGCAACACTGCATTTGCATTAATCAATACGGCCTCAGTCCTACCGCAGACATGACTCATAAGATGGTGTGCAGTATCACAGCAAAGCAGCCCGATAGCAGGAAAGGGCCATCCTCCCTGAAGTCAGAGCACCAGGAAGTACCTGCAAACATAAAGAGCACCTGCTTTTTGCCAGACGCTATGCCAGGCACCTGACCAGAAGTATTTATTCAGTAGCAGCAGTATGTCAGACCCAGCTTGTACCAGCTCACAAGGGCATCTCTTTGTTTGTATCTCTTCACAGGTCCACATTCGATGCAATCACATGGGTAGCTTGAAATTAACCATGGTGGGACTATTTATTTTGGGCAAATGCAACAACTCAGGTGTTGGGTTTGTTTGTGTTTTTGTTTTTGGCCCCAGAGAGCTAGTTGTTAAACATTTACCCACACACTAATGGTGATAAATACCATTATTGCTCCCTATTTATGAATAAGGACACAGGTGTTAGGACATTCGGAAACGTCCCCAAAGCCACACAGCTGACTAGCGTTGGTGCCTAAATTCAATCTCAAATCTATGTGGTTCCAGAGCCCATGCCTGTAACCTGTCTGTGCTCAGAAGACCCCTGGTGCAGTGCCACATATGATGGCTTGGAAGCCATCTCCAAACTTTTTTGAACTTCAGCATCCTGCTCAGTAAATTGGATCTTTCAAATGGAAAGATCAGCAGTTTTATCCAATTCCTCTAGTCTACGTGTGTGTTCAGTCATGCAACTGAATTCACACCCCATCATTCAAAACCTTGCAAGAGGGAAAGAGACTCAATGTTGTTGGCCTCAGCT